TTTGCATGTGGACGGGCTGGTCATTTGAAGTCAAGCAAATGGTGCCCAGCGAAAGATGTCAAATGTAATAAATGCCATGCGATGGGACATTTTGCCAAATGCTGTTTTCGAATCAATGTGAACAAAAGTTCAGCATTTTCAGAGAACCGTAAGAGAACAATGCCAGATAGGAGCGAATGGTCAGAGCGGCCGGCAAAGCGTGTAAGAGCAGTAACAGGAGATTTGGACGAAGACCAAGATAAGGGAAACATATTTTTCGCAATGGGACGTAACGTATTTCATTTCATGATTGGAGGTGTCGAGGTGCCAATGACGATTGATTCTGGGGCGGACGCGAATATTATTTCTTCAGCGGTCTGGAAGCAAATGGAAGAAGCAAAAGTTCAAGTGCAACACTTGTCGGAGAAAGGAGACAGAGTTTTGAGAGCATATGCCAGCAAGGAGGCTTTGAAAGTCATCGGGATGTTTACAGCTGAGATTCAAGCAGGTCAGAAAAAAGCAAACGCTAAATTCTACGTCGTTCATGGAGGTAGCCAGTGTTTGCTCGGCGAGGAAACAGCCTCGGAGTTGCGGGTGCTAAAAATCGGTTTTGACAATGTAACATCTATTGAAGCGGCGGGCAGTTTTCCAAAAATAAAAGGGGTTTTGCTTGAAATTCCTATTGACACTACCGTACAACCAGTGCAGCAACCTTATCGTCGGCCACCGATCGCTCTAGAGAATTTGATTGAGGAAAAGTTGAAGTTTCTTCTCGCTCAGGATATAATAGAGAAAGTGTCTCACCCATCTCCATGGGTATCTCCATTGGTACCGGTCCTGAAAGACTCGGGAGAAATACGGCTTTGCGTAGATATGCGTCGAGCGAATCGGGCTGTATTGAGAGAAAAGCATCCATTGCCTGTAGTTGATGAGCTTCTAGGCAGCATTCGTGGGGCAGTTCTTTTTTCAAAAGTTGATATAAAGGATGCCTATTATCAAATTGAGATTTCGGAGAAATCTCGCGAGATAACGACGTTTATTACAAAATTTGGATTGTTCAGGTAATGCGATTCTACATAATCTTTCTTTTTTTGACAAATAAACAATGAATAAAAGCAGTTAACAATTTGTTTATTATTTTGATAGATATAAAAGATTGATGTTTGGCATAAGCTCGGCCCCAGAACTGTTCCAGAAGGTGATGGAGACTGTAGTGGCAGGTCTGGATGGAATTGTAGTATACCTTGATGATGTAGTAGTTTCAGGACGATCAGAGGAAGAGCATGACAGGCGTCTACAAGCATTACTGGATAGGTTCAAGGATTATGAGATATTGCTAAACTCGCAAAAGTGTCAATTCAGGGTCAAGAAGTTAGAGTTCCTGGGGCACGAACTCTCAGTGAACGGTATTAGGCCAACTGATAATAGGATTCAGGCTATCCAACAATTCCGTCCTCCTGCAAATGTTGCTGAATTGCGTAGCTTTTTGGGGCTCATAACGTATGTTGGAAGGTTCTTACCAAACCTTGCGAGTAAAACTGAGCCTTTGAGGAATCTGTTAAGGAGTGGAGTAACGTTTGTTTGGAAAGATGAGCATCAAATCGCTTTCGATGCTATCAAATCAGAAATATCTTCTGTTGGATTCCTTGGATTTTTTGACCCCAAAGATACGATTTTTCTCATTACGGATGCAAGCCCTACTGGACTTGGAGCAGTCCTACTTCAAGAAAACCAAAGGAATGAGAAAAGAATCATTGCCTTCGCTAGCAAAGCGCTAACGGACCTGGAAAAGAAATACTTCCAAACAGAAAGGGAAGCTCTGGCATTGGTGTGGGCCATTGAGAAATTTCGTCTCTACTTGTTGGGAACGGATTTCAAGTTAATAACTGATTGCAAACCTTTGGATTTCCTCTTCAGCCATCGCTCCAAACCGTGCCCTCGGATTGAAAGATGGGTTCTACGTGTTCAATCGTATCGGTTTGAAGTCATCTACCAGCCGGGAGCCACAAACATAGCGGATGTGCTTTCGCGACTCTCGATATCCATACCTGAACCTTTCAATGATGATAGCGAAGTGTTCATAAGGAGTTTAGTGGCAGCATCAATTCCAAAAGCAATTACAGTACGCGAGGTAGAGGAAGAAACGGCTAAGGATGATGTTCTGCAAAACCTTTTGGAAGTTTTGGAAGATGGGAATTGGTCAGAATGCGTTAAACCTTTCAAGCCTTTTGGATCAGAATTGTATCGATCAGGAAACCTAATTATGCGTGGAGATCGGTTGGTTATTCCTACTGCTCTTCGGGATAAGATACTTGAACTCGCTCATGAGTCTCATCCTGGAATCGTCACAATGAAGAGAAGATTGCGACAAAATGTTTGGTGGCCAGGAATCGACAAACAGGTGGAGAGAATTGTCAAGCACTGTAAATCGTGTACTATTGTGTCAGCATTGGAGTCTCCTGAACCAATTAGGTGTACAAGGATGCCTGAGAAACCTTGGACTGATTTGGCGGCAGACTTCATTGGACCATTGCCATCGGGACACAATTTGCTGGTGATAGTTGACTATTTCAGCCGATTCATTGAGGTTATTGTTATGAAACAAATCACAGCAGTTTTGACCGTGAAAGCTTTCCACGAGACCTTTTGTCGGTTTGGAATGCCAGAAACTCTGAAGACTGACAATGGGCCGCAGTTCATTAGCGAGGAATTACGGAGTTTCTGTGACCAATTTGGTATCGAGCTGAGGAAGACAACACCGTACTGGCCGCAGGCGAACGGAGAAGTCGAGAGAGTGAATGGTATGATCAAAAAGCATCTGAAGATTAGTCACGCTGAAGATACGGATTGGAAGTGGGATCTGTGCATGTGCGTTTTGATGTACAATTCAACTCCTCATAGTACCACCGGTGTAGCTCCCTCTGTTCTTATGTTTGGTCGAGTGATGAAGGACAAACTTCCAGTTTTTCCGAGTGGCTACAGCAAGATTTCAGAGGAAGTGAGGGATAGGGACAGGGAGCAGAAACATAAAAGTGCTGAATACTGTGATCGCCGTCGCCGAGCGAAGCCGCGACACCTGAGAGCAGGGGATACGGTTGTCGTCAAACGGATGATCAGGGATAACAAACTCGCGTCGAATTTCGGTCCAGAAGAATTTACAGTTGTAGAACTAAAAGGGTCAGATGTAACGCTGAGCTCGAAACATTCAAATCGAGTTATTCATAGGAACATTGCCCATTTGAAACTGTTAGAATCAAACGATGACGATACAGAAGAGTCTTCGAAGGGAACCGTTTCAGGAGATGGATCAGAACAGGCCGCGCTTTCAACAGAAGAAGTAACTTCGACAGTAGATGTTCGACCCCGTCGTGAAATCAAGAAACCAGTCCGCTTGAACGATTATAAAGTGAACAGAGTGAATAACTTTGGAGAAAAGGAGGAGTTGTAGAGTATTACAAGCCTCCGGGCTAAATAAGCTCAGCTTCAGGGAACAGAGAGTTAGAAACACGATGAGCTGTAGGGGGGTCTGTCATGAATAAAGGGATTCTTGTGTATACGGCGTATGAGTAAACACGTTGTTTTATTTCGGTAGCGCTCTACATCACAGTCCTCACCATTTTGGGGTGTTATGGCAGCTATCCATCCAAAATAATCCGCCAGAGATAACTTCGTCAAGATGCATAATTTGTCAATTCATAAAAATTACTGGATAACTGTTCAAAAGACAGTTTTCACGTGTGAAATGCACTGTCTTTTAAATTCTGTAAGTGTTGCTGTACGTTTTATATGTCTAGGCATCGAATTGAAAACATTTTTATAATATAATGAATTTTGTGAAGCACAAGTCAAGAAATGTGGTGTTTTTATTTCAGCCGCGTTTCTAGTATTATATCTATGAAAGTCACCTCCTCTTTCAATTTGATCACACAAATATCGAGGCAGCAAACCGAGGCAACAAACCTTATTCCTATTCTTTAATGTACGACGTGTAAATATTTATATTATTGACAAATCCCCGGTAATTAATCATTTTGTTTGACCATTTTCCACAGAGATGGCGCTGTTCCGCTGGTAGGAAGTGATAAAAATCCCCATATAGAAATTGAGAGAAATGGGAATAATTCGCTTTCGGTGCATATTCAGGTCAAACAAAGTGAACGACAACCTTAAGAAATTAATCAGGAACTTTGTCGTTCAGTTTTTTTCCCGAAAATTATTGTTAAACAAGCTACAATCAAATAAAAATGATTTTTCCCCATACAGTTTTACCTGCTTTACTACCAGTTCCCAGAGAGCCAAAATATTCAAATTTGAGAGAAAAAACTTGCTCTCACGACCTGAATCTCTCAACATGCCATGTATTTTGTTGACACTTGATTTGTGATTTCCCTTTCACAGATTACAAAATAGAGTACCTGACACTACAAAACATGTATGGTACCTCTATACATGCATTTGCTTTAACATTTGAAGTCCCTCTTTTTTTACATATTCTGCGCAAAAGATACTTTATGCCCCGCCCCATACATACAATTCAGCGGGAAATTCTGTGAGGGGTGAGCTATTTTGTGTGCAGGATGTGTAAAAAAGGAGGGACTTCGAATAATAATATAAATGCATATATAGAGGTACCATACATGTTTTGCACTGCAGTGTCCTCTGTGAACAATTATAGGAAAACAGATTGTGTGTAGTTTCCGATAGATGTCACCGCAAACAACAGCAGTGACATCTGATGGAACATGAATGCAGAAGCTTGACAAAATTATAAATTATGGCATTTTGATCTTTGAAAACAGCGCGAATGAAAAAAATAGACCTATTTTCCATACATATTAAAACTGTTCGCATATTGCCTTATTGAGAAATTCTAAAAATACTATAGGATGTTTCCTTTGTTACGCCAATACCTGTAGCAGAGATTAGCTCTCTTTCGTTGTTTTCTGCATCCGTTTTTTAGTAGTTACCTGTTACAGATTTTAAGATGGATTGTCATTATTTTAGACGCATGATTAGCAATCATTGATTACAGTTCTTTATTTTATTCAACGCCAATCAACAAAGTCTTTATTTACGAATAAATTTGTCTTGAGTTTAAATAAACGAAACGTCTTAAATGAAAACTAAATCTCAAACACAACCACTTTGCTTAAACTTAGCTAAATCATAGTGTCTCGACCTCCCCTTTTCCGTCCAATACTCAGTTCCCATTAGCCTGTTCGATCCGTATGGAGTTAGCAATAGCATCAAACATCGGTTTCACCTTTTCCGACTTTCACAACCTTTTCGTTCTCGCATGGCTTCAGCGCCGGGATGTACTGCCCGACATAGTTCAGTACGAACTCCCGGTAGCGATAGAGCACGATACTGATGATCGTAATGGCGAACAACACTCCGGCGATAATCTCATAGTCATTCTCCAGGTTGTCATAATCATATTCGATGCCAATTAGAGCACCGAAGAAACGACCAAACCCGAAGTGAGCGATCACTGGCAGTGATTGGGCAATGGCGGTGACCTTGTGAGGCAGCACATCACGGAAGTGTAAGACCAAAGTCACCCAGGTCAGACCGAGGGTTGCCGGTAGTAGGGCGTCTTCGATGATGTCCCAGTACTCCCAGTCAAAGATGGCAAGTAGAATGAAGCGTACGACCAGCGCGAGGAAAGCTACGACGAAAATCTTGCATGTACCGAATGTTGCGATGATTCGTTGAGAGAAGATCAGTACCGGGATGGCCAGTAGATCGCCAGCGAGAAGCAATGTCCTAAACACCGTTCTGAACACCGGTTCTTCGGCAGAGTCATCCTTGGGCACGTCAATCATGTGGGATTTATCGATGGAATCAATTATGCTCCACAGCGATCCCAAGAGAATGGTAATGAGGAACGGTAACCAACATAGTTTAGCATACTTGATGAAGGAGGGGGACGAGAAGAATTTCTGAGGAACCGACTTAAACTTCCACCATTCTTCCGGTGGGGAAAGGTCCATTTGCAGGGGACTCAGTAGAATAACGGCAGCGATCGTATTCAGAATAATGAACCAGAAGTAGGGCTGCTCGTAGTCGTCGTTGAAGAAGATGATCCAACCGATGGCTCCCCAAACCAGCTGACGGCCAAAGTCAGCTATTCCTGTCGATGAGTCACGGGTAACAATGACGATAATGGTGTTGAACAGAGTAAGAGCTGCCAGCAGGAAAAAGTCCAGCAAAGATCGGATCGACAGGTAGAAGTAGTACGTGGAGTCACCACGATCGTCATCACCATCATTGTCTTCGTCCTATGAAAATAAAATGAAAGTTGTGATTTGGAAAACGATGCTATCGAAGATGTATACATACACCATCGCAAGTGGTTCCATAGAGTAGACTGGAATTGTCACTGTACGGATCCCGTAAAGTACATTCGATGACTGGCTTGCAGCCTTGTTCCTGATCCTTGATCCAGGCCTTGTCAATGTGACATTTGAATCCATCTAAAAAGGAGCAACGTATAAGAACCTCTGCCTGCTCTCGAAATGATTATCTCTTTGATACCTAGCGGATAGATACACTCTTCCACATCATCCCGTTCGTTGTGCTCGTCGATTGAGGCCTTGACCGTGATAACCTTTCCACTATATGTATAGCACTCTTCATCGTCAGCTAAGTCTTCGTCCGAGTTATCCACAGCTGGATCGTGACAAATCTGGGCCGGGGCATATTTGGCCGCATCTTCATCCTTGTCAAGAATGCCATCGTTATCGTCGTCAATATCCACAGCATCCGGGATGCCATCATTATCATCATCATTATCATCTGCATCTTTGATACCGTCATTATCATCGTCGTCATCCTGATCGTTCGGGATACCGTCACCATCCAGATCGTTAGCCTTGCGTGAATTTGCATCCAGCACATCCGGAATACCATCGTTATCATCATCGACATCTTCAGCATCCGGAATTCCATCATTATCATCATCCTGATCTTCCGTATCCGGAATACCATCATTGTCATCGTCATCGTCTTCATCATTGGGGATACCTTGGGGGAAAAAAAATTGAAGGTGTTTTCATTTTCATCAAAGTGCAGTACCATACCGTCTCCATCAAGATCATCGGTCAGCGGTTGACCTTCCTTGTCATCTGGGATGCCATCGTTGTCATCATCGATATCCTCATCGTCCTTGATTCCGTCGTTGTCATCATCATCGTCTTCAGTATCTGGAATTCCATCGTTGTCATCATCTTCATCTTCTTCATTCGGAATACCTACGCGTGCGGAATGGGATCGTGCATAATGGGGATTACTTGCCAATTGTGGACACCAGCCAATTGAGGGTTATTCAACGAATTTATAGTTTCACCAGTTTTTCAGAGTAGGTTGTTAGTTACGAGTTTCGACAACGATGTTAGTATGATCATGAGCCAATCGACATACCGTCTCCATCTAAATCGTTGATCGACGACTTAGTGTCCGTATCTCTGATATCCGGAATTCCATCATTATCATCGTCCGTATCCTGGACATCAGGGACTCCGTCGTTATCATCATCAGGATCTTCGCTGTCCGGGATGCCATCATTGTCGTCGTCGTCGTCCTTATCGTTGGTAATACCTATTGGATTTATGACGACAATGATTACCACAATGAATGCGTGATAAAAGATTTTAGATGTTTGAAAATCACTGGAAAATGTAGATTATAGACAAAGTTTTGCATTCTTTTAGGACACGTTTGTGTTAGGATTATAGAAATAGTAGAATTTTGTGGGGATAATGACGCACAGCATATAACGATGATCGTTTCGGAATCAGTCGCAGGCCGAGTAAACGAGTGTTGTCTGACTGTTGTTGATGCTCGCAGACATATAGAAGTGAGCATTCGCGGATATGACACATTCCAAGTACACACATGAAGAAAGAGGACTAGTGTCGTGGAAGCACCAAGCTTACGTACCGTCACCATCGAAATCATTGCCTCTGGATTTCGCATCAGTATCCTCACTATCCGGGACACCATCATTGTCATCGTCATCGTCCTTTGCATCAAGGATGCCGTCATTGTCATCGTCATCATCCTCAGCGTCCGGAATGCCATCATTATCATCATCATCGTCTTGATCGTTGGGAATTCCTAGAAAATAAGCTCAACCAATTGCTACCTAGTTCTACACCGTCTAATCATGCACCTATAGCCAATTGAACACCGAAAGCACCTGCTGGTTCATAAACAAATACCCTCATCCTCAAACCTACCGTCTCCATCCAAATCGTTCGCCACCATCTTCGAGTCGACATCCATACTATCCGGAATTCCATCGTTGTCATCATCCATATCTTCCGCATCAGGAACCCCATCGTTGTCATCGTCATTGTCCTGCGTGTCCGGAATGCCATCGTTATCGTCATCCGGATCCTGATCATTCGGAATACCATCTCCGTCCAGATCGTTACTGTTGGGTGTACCACCTTCGCCACTACCCTCATCGACTCGCACCGTTTCGGATTCATCTACCACAGCACCCTGATCATCATCATCCTCTTGATCCGGGAGAGTGGCTAACCGCATGGCCACCTCTTGTCGCCCATAGCAGGTGCTGTCGAACTGAACTTCACGCTGGCAGCTGTAGGTGCAATCTTCCAGACTCAGTAAACCGGCCTGTTGGAAAGTCGAAACTGATGAGTATTGTTATCGTTGGTATGTTGGAGAGTAGGTCAATTGATATTGTTGAACTAATCATTGAAATCATTGGCATGACTCTTAAGCTGGGTTAAGACACGGCAAGTCAATTGATCAAGTCAGTTGAATTCAACTGACTTGAACGCGAATTGAACGTGTAAACCATGCCATTCAACTGACTTGATCAACTCACTTGAATTGAAAAAAGTTGAACCAAGCTCAACTTTTCAAGCCAATTAAATTCAACTGAGTTGATCATTTGACTTGCCTAGTCTAAACCCAGCTTTAAGCCGAGTTTAGACGAGGCAAGGGAGCTTCAATTCAATTCACCCCGATCTAGCAGTCGGGGAACGGATGACTTGGCATCGAATAGAGCAAGTTTGACATTGGTCAGCTTTCTGGACGTTCATTTCAAGTGAATGGAATACTGAATTGAAATTAATGAATTTTTGGTTTATTAATATAACCGGGTCTTTCGTGGATTCTAACAATTATTTTGACTGGTTATTTCTACTGATGAAAACTAAATCTAATCCGATTTTTTATTTTTTTTATTTTTTGGTCTTAATATCTTGATCAAATGGAACAGACACTCGTTTCAAGGGTACTGTGGTGAGGGTTGTAAATAATCTCCTTTGTAGAATTCTCGCTTTTTTATCGATGATTGCCTGTATTGTGGTCTCCTTTTATCCGTTGAGTCTCGCTGTTTCGAAGATGTACTGTAATTCATCAACCTTTCCTGTATCGCTGAGAGGAAGAGTCTGCATCCGATGAATCATGTGGTGGAAGGCAGACCGCAGACCGCTGGAACGAATGGTTGGAAGTATAGGGATAGCTCTTTTGGTGCTTGTTGGTTTCCTGTAAATTTCATATTCAAGCGAAGAAAATGATGTCGATTTCCTGATGACTAGAAGATCGAGAAATGCGAGTATATTTGGTATCCTTGTCAATTCTGTTGATCTCATCTAAAATTTGTAGAAGGGCTTCTGTATCCTCTCGTTGTGTTAATAGCCAGTCCTCCAAATGGTTGATCGCTTCTTTGACCGGTACGCTGGGAAAAAAGAACTGTTACGTCGAAATATACCATAATCTCGTCCCTGTTGATGTCTACTGAAAATTTTAGTTGCTGGGTTAACTCCTGGGTGCTGCTTTACTCTCTGTGACTAGCCACTTCGCTAGTTTGTGGGTGGGGAAACCAACGATCTCTCGCATTTAATTCCCCGGTTTGTGGACATTGGGGAGACCTTTGATCCTGGGTAGAATGGGATTGGATTCCCGTAAACGACCTGCTCCATCTCCTAATATTGATTTGCACTCCTTCAGTGTTTTCTCCACGCGTTTCACTATGTTCTGTAAGGGGTCCACTCGAAGATGTCTATACGGTCCGTTGTTAATCTTCGTTGTCATCTGATTGTCGTAATCGTCCTTGTCCATGATAACGAACGCGTTGCCCTTGTCTGCTTTCACATAGTATACTGCTTTACTTTTCAGCTCCTGTACAATCCGAATTTCCTTTTCGTTGCTGCGACTTTGTTGTGTTCGTCCCTGATTGATGTTGGAAGTGTCTTGGTAATCGCTGTCTCTACATCAATGATGATCTGCTCCACATCTGGCTTAGTTGTAACCGCGTATCCTAGCCCCTAGTTGAGGTGTGTCAATTGTTCTTCCGTGAATGCGGTCGTCGATCGATTGACTACCAACCCATCAATGGAGTGAACCCTCGGCGTCGTGGTGATGGTGGATGGGATCTGAGGATCTGCTCACCAGTTTGGTGTGTCGTCCGTCTCCGTTGAGACTCGTGTCGTAGTCTGTTTAGCTTCCTATCGTGCAGCTTCCGTTTCCAATCCGATTGGCACTCCTCTGCTACCTTGGCCCTAGACAGAAACTCCTGGAATTTAATTGGATAGTCCTTGGCCAATTTGAGATGTACAGAATAACATTCCAAAGTCATCATGTCCAGTTTTCTATATAGTCGTCTGATGCTATCCTTGATGAACTCTGCTTCCATCCTCTCTATGTACTACGCTGGGTGGGGTGGGTGTCCGTGCCTTAATCCTATGGCTTATAGATATAACCTTATATTTTTGGCATTTCTTCAGAAATGCTACGTCCTTATGAAGCGATGCGATGGTTTTCTTCAATCCGACGAATCTATTTGGCTCCGACGATTTGGTTGCCATGACTACCAATAAAATCATCCTCAGAATTTCCGTAGAATTCACCTCAAAATTGGCCTGGAATTCACCTTAGGATTATTTAGAAATTCTACTCAGAATTCATTAAACAAACGACTATTGACACCGTCTTTAACCAGATACTACATAAACTTAATATTAAAAAATACATACACAAGTAGACCAGGAAGAAATTTTCCGGTATAGGAAAAATTCTGCTGGCTGTATCAGGAATCTAACCTACGTCGCGGCGCTAACCACGCATCCATGGGGCCCACACCCAATTATTCTAAAAAATCCTTTGCTTTGGTGACTTTCTGGATACATGGAGCATTCCAAGGAAGAAAATGGCCGAGAGTTCAAAGAATTATCCTAAGGTTGTTTTGACTAGAATTCCAAGCAAATTATGAGAATTCTAATTCTAAAAGAATTGTGAGACCATTTGTGAATCCTAAGGAAAATTTTAAAGGGTGATACGGTCAAAATTTGGTCAAGGGAAAAAGCGTGTAAATCGGTGAAATCTTTTATTTAAAAAATCAAATTAAATTTCTTTTTCAAGTTCAATTAGTATAAAATTCAGGAAAAATATTCAGTTAGGCTTCCGCTTTTCCAAATCCGAATTGCCGGGCCTTACGCTTGACCCCTGCCATCAGATTTTGTACAGCCACCTTGTCCACCTTCTTCGCCGCAGAAAGCCAGTTTGCCTTGAACTGCTGCTCGCCCTTAGCAGTTTTTTTGGTCTTCTTTAGGTTCCGCTTGACAATAGCCCAGTATTTCTCAATTGGGCGGAGCTCTGGCGCGTTGGGAGGGTTCTTGTCCTTGGGAACCACCTGCACGTTGTTGGCGGCGTACCACTCCATGGCCTTTTTACCGTAATGGCAAGATGCCAAATCCGGCCAAAACAGTACGGAACAACCGTGTTTCTTCAGGAAAGGCAGCAGACGTTTATTCAAACACTCTTTCACGTAAATTTCTTGGTTGACAGTCCCGGAAGCTATGAAAATGCTGCTTTTCAAGCCACAGGTACAGATGGCTTGCCAAACCAGATATTTCTTTGCGAACTTTGACAGTTTCATGTGCTTGAAAACATCTGCTACCTTTCCCCTTCCTTTTGCCGTATAAAACTCCTGTCCCGGAAGCTGCTTGTAGTCGGCTTTGACGTAGGTTTCGTCGTCCATTACCACGCAGTCAAACTTCGTCAGCATCGTCGTGTACAGCCTCCGGGATCGCGCTTTGGCCGTCGTATTTTGTTTATCATCGCGATTTGGAGTCACTACCTTCTTGTAAGTCGATAGTCCGGCTCGTTTTTTGGCTCGATGCACGGTTGTAGACGATACACCCAGCTTATTTGCGGCATCTCGGAGAGAGAGGTTAGGGTTTCGCTTGAAACTACCGGCAACTCTCTTTGTCGTCTCAGCGGCTTCCGGTTTTCGATTTCCCCCCGATACAGACTTCCTGGCTGTCGACAAACGTTCCCCAAACACTTTAATTACATTTGTAACGGTTGATTTGGCAACTTTTAGCGATTTTGCCAACTTTGCGTGCGAGTAGCTCGGATTTTCGCGATGCGCGAGCAAAATTTTGATACGCTGCTCTTCTTGCTTGGACGGCATTTTGACAACTGAAGAGTGAATTCCAAAATCAAAATAGGAGCAACATTTTACACACACACACCTTCAAAATGAGGGGTGTTCAGGTTTTTTAAATGCAAAATTGAAAGAAATACGTCAAGTTGATATTGACCAAATTTTGACCGTATCACCCTTTAAGCGTAAGGTGCGAGCGTATGGTTATGGTATTGAAGTTGAATAAAATAAATATGTCAAAAGCTTACTAATGGGTTATATTTTATTGTCTGCTAGTTTGAAAAGGATCGGTCAATTAGGTAATTTTCTACAGCGTTTTTTTTTTTCGTGATGCAATTTGATGTGGGACACCCTTTAGTTCGGTAGAAGAAGCTATTATCGAGCATCTAATATGGCAAACACGGCAAGAAACGGATTTGTAGCCAAGTTATTAACGAAAGAGAAAATCGACGAGGAGAATCGATCAATATTACTCAGGACCTAATGCATTTTTCACCTTGATAGTTTTTCCAAGGGCCTACACGGTAAATGAATATAGGTCATATTTGAAACCTGATCTCTCAAATTCACAAAAACGTAAGTAAAGTAACTGGTAAACATACCAAATTTAAGTAGGATCTACTCATATCCGTCAAAAGTAGGGCTATCGAAAAATGAGCAAACAAAGTTGCAACTGACAAGATGACAAATGAACAACATCGGTCGGATTCAGGTCGATGTTTTCCATTCATCATTTTTTTAGCCTAAACTTTGTTTACTCAATTTGGTGTACCCTATTTTTGACAAATATGAGTAAATCGATCCGTTTTTTCACGCAAAGAATAATATTTTGCATACGGGATTTTTCAGTGGAGTGCAGAGATGCCAGATTTACAGACATGTCTGTGAATTAACAGACTTTTATTCTTTCACAGTCATTTTTTTCGTTACAGACATTTACAGACTTTTTAGTTTTTTCACAGATATTTACAGACTGAAAATTTTAAACTGTTTTACATCTTTAATCAAATTACAAATGCGATGCATTTTACAACACGCATAAGAAATTCACGCGTTTTCAAATCTACCACACGAACGAGCTGTGCAATGAGATGGATTACCGAGGTGAAGCAATCGGTTAAGTTGTGTGAGTAAAACCCCTGTACGATACTTGCGTTTACGTTGATTTTTTGGTTTACTAATACAACAATATTTCACGATCTGCTTCACCTCTCTCTGT